GAAGCAGCCCGTAGCAGCTGTCTAACTCCCAGGTACCTATTTTACTGCTAGGTAACAGGGCCATAGGGTGAAAGAAACTCTGCCCAATGTTTCTCGCCGGCGCCTGGGATCGAACCCAGGACCACAAGATCACAAGTCCAGCGTGCTGTCCGCTCGGCCGACCGGCTCCTTCCCGACCATGGTCATATTTGTCGCAAGCTTTCGCGAAATCTGTGTATATTACATAAGTAATTTTCTTGTCTTCCATGCCTCTTCAACCAGGCATGCGAGGCATATCATAGTCTAGCAACTGTGAGGCAGAAGCGACCCTCTCTGAACCCGTGTTGTCTAGGGTTATGTACATGTTGTCATATCATGTCTTTTGTGATCCTACTTCTTAGCATTCTTTCAAAGATTTTTGTGTGTGATGTTACTGATATCGGTCTATTATTTTTTTTGCATCTGCTTTATTGCCTCTTATGTGAAGTGGCGCGATCTCCTCTGCTTTAAGTGTGTTGGAAATGACACCAGAATCTAGGCTTCGTCTCAAAATGATGTATAGAGCCTATGGTATTTTTTCTCCCCAATTCTTGATAAATACAGTATTTCAGGACTCTGGGCCTGGTGTGGCGTGCGTGAGCATGCTGTTCATGGCTACTTCAAACTCCAGTGGGGGTTAAGATGACATGTTAAGTTAGGTTCCATGTTGGTGTCACATTCATAAAATATTTGTTTGGATTTTCGATCAACAGTGTATTGAGGGGTTTGATGAAAAGCAGAATCGCACTCTATCTTCAGTATTTCACTCGTTTCTTTTTTGTCATCTGCGAAAGTTCCATCTTCCTTGCGCGATGGTCCTGTGCTGGATGTAGTTCTTGTTTTCGACTTCGTAAAGGAGAAACAGTATTTTCGGTTCGTCTTCGTTTCACTGATGACATTTTACTCTCTTAACCTTTCCTAAAATTTGTATGATTCTTGCAGCTTTAGCTAGATGGTTTCTAATTCTCTACATAGCCTTCCTTGCCGTTCTTTGGATAGAGTGGGACGTTCAAGTTGTTCAATTTGTTTTCTTTATCCATTGAAAAACTGCGGTTCTCATTGTAATTTGCATCTTTTTCTCTTTAGGGATATGTGGCTTGAGCTTATTTCTAGTATTACTTTATCTATTTTCTCGAAGCACTAATTTTGGGTTGTGTTATCTAGCTGTTCTCCCCAGCTTATTTATGTGAGGTGTTGATTTATTAGTTCCAAGTTAATCTTTATTATTAAAATTACATTTGGTGAATTTGTCTGCTCTTGAATGTAATACTGCTGTGCAGATCTATTTCCCATGCTTGTATGGTCTTCGATCTAGTTGTGATCTAAATAGTTTAACATGTATTTTTAATCATTGTTTCTAACCAGTTCATCATTGTGAAAATAAGGTGTATTGTGTTCAATTTTCTAGATGGTTCCACTATTTAAATGCTGGTTTCAGGAAAATCTCTTATACATCCATATGAAGTCATTTGTATGTGACTGTTCATTGAGACTGCTTCCTGGGATTCACTCGGATATATTGGTATTAGCAACATTTTCCTAGGTGCTGTAAATTGAGGCTACCGAGCAAAATGATAATAGGGCCTGTGCTTGTGAGGCTTTTCTAAACTAGAATATATGTTCATTAGTTGGTCTTTAAACTGCAGGGATTTATATCTGGTCATTTATATGATGGCGGTGATGGTGAGGGCAGTGATTCCATCACAATGGTTGTACTCTTCAAATCGTTTGTGTTGTCCCGTCTTGAGTACTGCTCAGTACTCACTTCCACCTTCAGAGCAGGAGAGATTGCTGAAATAGAGGGAATACAGAGAACATGCACGGCACGCATAGACGCGATAAGGCCCCTAAATTATTGAGATCATCTCAAAGTTCTCCAAATGTACTCACTAGAAAGGAGACGAGAGATATCAAATAATATACACATGGAAAATACTGGAGGGCCAGGTCCCAAATTTACACAGTAAAATAACAACGTACTGGAGTGAACGATATGGAAGAAAATGCAGAATAGAACCAGTGAAGAGCAGAGGTGCCATAGGCACAATCAGAGAGCACTGTATAAACATCAAAGGTCCACGGTTGTTCAACGTGGTTGTTCAGAGGTCCACGGTTGTTCAACGTTCAACCAGCGAGCATAAGAAATATTGCCGGAACAACCGTGAACATCTTGAGAAAACTAGATTGTTTTCTTCAAGAAGTGCCGGACCAACCGGGCTGTGGTGGATATATATGGGCGTGCGGGGGGCTCCAAGGAACAGCCTGGTGGACCAAGTTCTCAGAAGTCAAGCCTGGCCCCGGGCCGGGCTTGGGGAGAAGAACTTCCAGAACCCCATCAAGCAGGTATGGCGAGGGCGGTGATGGAGATAGCAGTGATGGCGAGGGCGGTGATGGAGATAGCAGTGATGGCGAGGGCGGTGATGGAGATAGCAGTGATGGCGAGGGCGGTGATGGAGATAGCAGTGATGGCGAGGGCGGTGATGGAGATAGCAGTGATGGCGAGGGCGGTGATGGAGATAGCAGTGATGGCGAGGGCGGTGATGGAGATAGCAGTGATGGAGATAGCAGTGATGGCGAGGGCGGTGATGGAGATAGCAGTGATGGCGAGGGCGGTGATGGAGATAGCAGTGATGGCGAGGGCGGTTATGGCGATAGCAGTGATGGCGAGGGCGGTGATGGAGATAGCAGTGATGGCGAAGGCGGTGATGGCGATAGCAGTGATGGCGAGGGCGGTGATGGAGATATCAGTGATGGCGAGGGCGGCGAGTGTGGAGGCGTGTGGAGAGTAATCCCGGGTGTGACACCTGATATTAGCTACAGGTATTGCCCCCTGCGTCAGGCACTCGCTTCCCTCACTCCTAAACCCACCTGCAACACAGGTCTCCATAATGTGATACTTGCGGCTCGATGCAATATGAGAAAAAACTGTGTCAAAATAACATATCGAAGGGAAACCCGCCGAAATAGGCGCAGAAGACGGGGGAGTCGTTGCCCTTGGAAGAAGGATCTGGGCAGGTGGTGGAGAGCGACCCCTCAGGATGAGGCGGGAGAAGAAGAGGGGTGTTGTGGCTGCGCCCTCCGCCACCCCCACCACCACCTACACTAGTCCCAGACCAGGTACGTACAGCGCCAGCTTGCGTCACACCTCCATCCTCTCACTTATACTCACTCTTCATCCTCTTCCCTCTTTCACCCCCACCCCCCAAGGTTGTTCTTCATCTACACCCTTTATTTTGTTACTCCTAATAAGCCAAGCTGTTTTTTTTTTCTCATCTCAAGCCAGTTACAAACAATATGTTTACAAAATGTTTGTAAGAGGTTGCCGGAATAGAACCAACGTCCTGGGTTACCCCAGACGCACGCACGCCTCAACATACGGAGACGGGTTCCATCCTGCCGTCTTGCTCCAAACATTTGCTCATACATATATGCCATTAAAGTGTGACTTCATTGTGTAATAGGTTGACAAATGTCATGCCTGGGATGATAGTGTGATGATTTATGTCAGCACATTGGTCAGACTGCAGTGTTCCCAGCAGCTAAGGATATTTTGTACTTTATATGTAACACATTCAAAACTCAGGCCCTGGGTCTGAGTGCATTAAAAAATTGTCAATATCCAAGAAAAAAATCCATATCAAAATGTGTGGGGTTTGTTGTAATATCTGACATATGCCTGTTACTGTTACCTTACCTTGAGGTGCTTCTGGGGCTTAGCGTTCCCGCGGCCCGGTCGTCGACCAGACCTCCTGGTTGCTGGACTGATCAACCAAGCTGTTGGACGAGGCTGTTCGCAGCCTGACGGACGAATCACAACCTGGTTGTTCAGGTATCCTTTGGAGGTGTTTATCAAGTTCTCTCTTGAACACTGTGAGGGGTCGGCCAGTTATGTCCCTTACCTGGTTGATACCTGGTTGATGGGGTTCTGGGAGTTCTTCTACTCCCCAAGCCCGGCCCGAGGCCAGGCTCGACTTGTGAGAGTTTGGTCCACCAGGCTGTTGCTTGGAGCGGCCCGCAGGGCCACGTACCCACCACAGCCCGGCTGATCCGGAACTTCTCTTAGAAAACCGTCCATGTGTAGTGGAAGCGTGTTGAACAGTCTCGGGCCTCTGATGTTGATAGTTCTCTCTTGAACACTGTGAGTGGTTGGCCAGTTATGTCCCTTATGTGTAGTGGAAGTGTGTTGAACAGTCTCGGGCCTCTGAGACTCGTCAGAAACTGAGTCGACAGTCTTCTGGTCTCGTGTGATGTTATTTCTGTGTGTAGATTTGGGACCAGCCCCTCTACTATTTTCCACGTGTAAATTATTATGTATCTCTCACACCTGCGCTCAAGAAAATACTGAATTAGGCATTGTAGTCGGTTCCAATAGTTTAGATGTTTTACTGAGTGGATTCTTGCAGTAAAGGATCTCTACACGCTCTCCAGGTCAGCAATTTATCCAGCTTTGAAATGCCTGTCATTGTGCAGCAGTATTCCACTCTTGAGAGCACTAGCGTCTTGCAAAGTATCATTGTTATATCATCTCTTGTTTGAAAGGTTCTTTTTATCCAACCGGTCATATTTCTTGCAGATGTGACGGCTACTGTATTGTGTTGTTGTACAGGTGCCTTCCTGACACAATATGTGGATGTTAGCAGCTAAGCTTTCTCTCTTGTCAGGGAGCTGCGAGTGTACCTAAGGTTGTTCACATGTATTTCAACATATGTGGATGTCTATAGATAAATACTGTGTACCAGTCACATATAAACATTCATGTGTGTGTTTAGGGTGACATCGTGCATCACTAAAGACAACTGACACCACTCCACCTGTCAAGAGAGCGTAGGAGCGACAGCTACACACCGCTACCACTAACCTCACACATCACTAAGGTGTCTGAGAGGGTGCTAATAAGCGATCTTACAGGTCTTATGGTTAAGAAAGAGCTATTAATCCAGATCAACAGGGCTTTAACCAGAAAAATCTTTTCTTCCAAATAGGTATACTAGGGGAAGGGGTCAGTACGAGGTGTTGGAAGCATATCGGGATGAAGCAGACGTTGAACACACTTTGATAACCCGTTCAGTAAGTGTAACCATGGAGTAATTGGCCATAAAATAGAAGGGAATAAGAGAGAAAGGTTGGAAGGAGATTGAGGACACTGGTGATGAGAGGAAAGGTTGGAGGGAGGTGGGAGAGGTGGGTGTAGGTGAGCGTTACCCTGGCAACACTGAACACGCACACCCAAGGTGACGTGAAGGCACAGGCTGCTCATCACCCCGCCCACTCCCTCTGTTATGCCCTCTCCGTCAGCCCCCACTCCCTCTTATACCCTCTCCGTCAGCCCCCACTCCCTCTTATACCCTCTCCATGAACCGCCACTCCCTCTCTTATACCCTCTCCATGAACCGCCACTCCCTCTCTTATACCCTCTCCATGAGCCGCCACTCCCTCTCTTATACCCTCTCCATGAGCCGCCACTCCCTCTCTTATACCCTCTCCATGAGCCGCCACTCCCTCTCTTATACCCTCTCCATGAGCCGCCACTCCCTCTGCTATACCCTCTCCATGAGCCGCCACTCCCTCTCTTATACCCTCTCCATGAGCCGCCACTCCCTCTGCTATACCCTCTCCATGAGCCGCCACTCCCTCTCTTATACTCTCTCCATGAGCCGCCACTCCCTCTCTTATACCCTCTCCATGAGCCGCCACTCCCTCTGTTATGCCCTCTCCATGAGCCGCCCAGTCCTAAGTGCAGTAAAGAGCTCTGTTCCCCAGGGCACAGTCCTTGCACACCTGCTCTCTCATATTATCAGAGAGATCAGGTGGTAATCTTGGATGGTAATCTTGGGCATAGCATGCTATGCCCAAGATTATCATCAGAGTGCCTGCGGGGAAGTGATTCAAATAGCTTCGGCTATCACTTCCTTTTGTCCGGTCGTGATGGTCAAGTGGATTAAGGCGTCCTGTACATACCAGTTGCGTTGCTTCTGGCAGTATGGGTTCGAGTCACTTCTGGGGTGTGAGTTTTCAGTTGCATATAGTCCTGGGGACCATTCAGGCTTGTTCGCATATATATATATATATATATATATATATAATATATATATATATATATATAATATATATATATATATATATATATATATATATATATATATATATATATATATATATATATATATATATATATATATATATATATATATATATATATATATATATATATATATATATATATATATATATATATATATATATATATATATATATATATATATATATATATATATATATATATATGTGTGTGTATATATTATATATATATGTATATATATTAATAACGGATTGTAAAGACACGATTAAATAAATTGGGCAAATTATTTATGGTGCACAATTAACTTACCGTCTTACGTCAGGCTGCGAGCAGCCCGTCAAACGGCCTGGTTGACCAGTCCAGCAACGAGGAGGCCTGGTCGACGACCGGGCCGCGGGGACGCTAATCCCCGGAAAAACTCCAAGGTAACTCCAAGGTAGCTTGATGGGGTTCTGAGAGTTCTTCTACTACCCAAGCCCGGCCTGAGGCCAGGCTTGACCTGTGAGAGTTTGGTCCACAAGGCTGTTGCTTGGAGCGGCCCGCAGGCCCACATACCCACCATAGCCCGGTTGGTTCGGCATGTTTTTTAGAAAACAATGTAGTTTTCTCTTGAAGATGTCCACGGTTGTTCCGGCAACATTTCTTATAGTCGCTGGGAGGACGTTGAACAACCGCGGACCTCAGATGTTTATACAGTGTTCTCAGATTGTGCCTATGGCACCTCTGCTCTTCACTGGTTCTATTCTGCATTTTCTTCCATATCGTTCACTCCAGTATGCTGTTATTTTACTGTGTAGATTTGAGACCCGTCCCTCTAGTATTTTCCATGTGTATTATTTTCTTTCTCGTCTCCTTTCTAGTGAGTACATTTGGAGAGCTTTGAGACGATCCCAATAATTTAGGTGCCTTATCGCGTCTATGCGTGCCTTATATGTTCTCTGTATTCCCTTTATTTCAGCAATCTCTCCTGCTCTGAAAGGGGGAGTGAGTACTGAGCAGTACTCAAGACGGGACACCACAAGTGACTTGAAGAGTACAACCATTGTGATGGGATCCCTGGATTTGAAAGTTCTCGTAATCCATCCTATCATTTTTCTGGCTGACGCAATATTTGCTTGGTTATGCTCCCTAAACATTAGGTCGTCGGACATCATTATTCCCAAATCCTTGACATGCTGTTTTCCTACTAAGGGCAGATTTGATTGTATTATGTACCCTGTATTATGTTCCAGATCCTCATTTTTGCCGTACTGAGTACCTGGAATTTATCACTGTGAAATATGTTATTTTCTGCTACCCAGTCGAAAACTTTGTTGATATCTGCTTGTAGTTTTTCAATGTCTTCAGCAGAGGTAATTTTCACGCTGATTTTTGTGTCATCTACAAAGGATGACACGAAGCAAAAGGAATTACCGGAAAGATAGGCAGATGGATCTACAATTACCTGACTAACAGAACCCAATGTGTAATAGTTAACAAAATAAAATCCAGCCCATCAACTGTGAAGAGCTCTAGTGAAGACCACTAATATAATCCCGCGGACCACTAATATAATTCCGCGGACCACTAATATAATTCCGCGGACCACTAATATAATTCCGCGGACCACTGATATAATTCCGCGGACCACTAATATAATTCCGCGGACCACTAATATAATTCCGCGGACCACTAATATAATCCCGCGGACCACTAATATAATTCCGCGGACCACTAATATAATCCCGCGGACCACTAATATAATTCCGCGGACCACTAATATAATTCCGCGGACCACTAATATAATTCCGCGGACCACTGATATAATTCCGCGGACCACTAATATAATTCCGCGGACCACTAATATAATTCCGCGGACCACTAATATAATTCCGCGGACCACTAATATAATTCCGCGGACCACTAATATAATTCCGCGGACCACTAATATAATTCCGCGGACCACTAATATAATTCCGCGGACCACTAATATAATTCCGCGGACCACTAATATAATTCCGCGGACCACTAATATAATTCCGCGGACCACTAATATAATTCCGCGGACCACTAATATAATTCCGCGGACCACTAATATAATTCCGCGGACCACTAATATAATTCCGCGGACCACTAATATAATTCCGCGGACCACTAATATAATCCGGCGGACCACTAATATAATCCGGCGGACCACTAATATAATCCGGCGGACCACTAATATAATCCGGCGGACCACTAATATAATCCGGCGGACCACTAATATAATCCGGCGGACCACTAATATAATTCCGCGGACCACTAATATAATCCGGCGGACCACTAATATAATTCCGCGGACCACTAATATAATCCGGCGGACCACTAATATAATTCCGCGGACCACTAATATAATCCGGCGGACCACTAATATAATTCCGCGGACCACTAATATAATCCGGCGAACCACCAATATAATCCTTCTGTTCTTCTGACTATTCCTTTAACTGCCGCCGTGAATTCTGGGAGATATTAAAGACGGTCTACCGAAGGCCGCCAATGGTAAGAGATGGTGCCCTTTAACTCTTCCCCTTCGCTGCTTTATTAATACTCTCCACTTTCACACCTACTCAGTCTCTCTGCCACCCACTCCCACCCACTCCCACCCCATCAGCCGCCCACCCACTCCCACCCATCAGCCGCCCACCCACTCCCACCCCATCAGCCACCGCCCACCACTCCCACCCATCAGCCACCCACCCACTCCCACCCCATCAGCCACCCACCCACTCCCACCCATCAGCCGCCCACCCACTCCCATCCCATCAGCCGCCCACCCACTCCCACCCATCAGCCGCCCACCCACTCCCACCCATCAGCCGCCCACCCACTCCCACCCATCAGCCGCCCACCCACTCCCACCCCATCAGCCGCCCACCCACTCCCACCCCATCAGCCGCCCACCCACTCCCACCCCATCAGCCACCCACCCACTCCCACCCATCAGCCGCCCACCCACTCCCGCCCACCCACTCAGCCGCCCACCCACTCCCACCCCATCAGCCGCTCACCCACTCCCACCCATCAGCCGCCCACCCACTCCCACCCCATCAGCCACCCACCCACTCCCACCCATCAGCCGCCCACCCACTCCCACCCCATCAGCCGCCCACCCACTCCCACCCATCAGCCGCCCACCCACTCCCACCCCATCAGCCGCCCACCCACTCCCACCCCATCAGCCGCCCACCCACTCCCACCCCATCAGCCGCCCACCCACTCCCACCCAATCAGCCACCCACCCACTCCCACCCATCAGCCGCCCAACCACTCTCACCCATCAGCCGCCCAACCACTCCCACCCATCAGCCACCCACCCACCCCGGTCTGACGAACGTTCCCACCGTCAGAAAGCTGTTGTACCAAAGTGCCCTAACCTAAGACCTACTTATCAGTATTTCGGGGGCACATTGCTTATCTTTCAAGCGACTCTTGTCCTTCCTCTCCCGGTTCTCCTAGTTTACCCGTCCCACCCCTCTCCCACCACTATCCCTCTCTCCTTCCCAAACACAGCCATTTCTATATTACCTCCATCCACTTAACCGTCAGTGTTTACACCATTTGCCTAAACCACACTTCCCTTGCACTGATAATTAGGCATCCCATAAACATTATGCTCTACCAATACTCCCCCCCCCCCACTCCTATCCCGCCTGTCTCCCCCCTATTTCACCTCAATACCTTCCCACCAAGTACTGCAACGGTACCGGTAGTGGTAGGCTGGTTGGCTGAGGTTGCCCAACGGTACCGGTAGTGGTAGGCTGGTTGGCTGAGGTTGCCCAACGGTACCGGTAGTGGTAGGCTGGTTGGCTGAGGTTGCCCAACGGTACCGGTAGTGGTAGGCTGGTTGGCTGAGGTTGCCCAACGGTACCGGTAGTGGTAGGCTGGTTGGCTGAGGTTGCCCAACGTACCTCTGGACAAAATTCCTGGCCATAAGGGTAAACCGAAGACCATATAAAATCCACTTTCC